CGATATATATATCTTTACATCATGCATGTGACAATACACGATACGGACAACCATGCATGACAAATAAACTTGCTACTTGCTACAAATAAACTTACTCCGGAGTAAAAGTTTTACTCCAAAACGGAGTAATATTTACTCCGGAGTAATATAGTTACTCCGGAGTAATATCTTACTCCAAAAATACTTACTCCGGAGTAATATTTTACTCCGGAGCAACACATTTATATCGATATATGTATAAATAGATGCAGACACACAAACACACACCAGTGAAGACTTGCGCTTCTGCTGCTGCTTTTTCTCCTGATGTGCCATGGCATTTCAGGCTTATTTTTGTTCGCTACCGACCGACTTCGACGCAGTTTTGTCTCCGCAAGAGGGACTGGTTTCTCGCCAGTTTCTGCTGCCACTTTATACAGGTTTCTGACCAAGACTCGCAGACCTTCCACCAATCGCCGTGAAGTACGTCACCTACTTCACATGCAAAGTACATGCACGCCAATCGACTACTTCGGATCCACAAATCACGACACCTTGCGGCCAATCAGCTACTACAGACGTTGACTTTAACCACGCCCCCCACTTCACGATGCAATCCCGACGGTCCCGCTGTCATGTTGAATAGCTTACTGTCACAGTAACAATATCGGTAGGCGTGGTGTCATCCTTCAAAAATCGTTGCCGTGACAACAGGTTTCCCAGGTAACCGGGTTCAAAAGTGCACATTGACCTTTATCTGACCTCCCTCCATTGACGTCATGACACCCTCATAATATATCATATTAAGATATACATAAATTAATTCATAATTGCACATTAATATTTCAGTTATTAATAAATCAACGCAGTCATTAAAATTACAAAATTTGCATAAATTTGCATAAATTACCAAAATTTGCATAAATTTGTATAAAATTCAAATTTCCCGCGCACCTGCATAAATTTGCATCTATGAATAAATTTGCATAAATTTGCATAAATTTGCATAAATTGATCCAGACTACCCTGTTATCTACTCATCTGTACACCGCCGTTGTGTATTATCTCTTGTATGTCTTTAAACAAAGAATAGCTGGTACATAAAATGAAGGCATTAGGTCTCACTGATAAGCTTCTATATATGTGACAATTTCTGCCGCTGTCAAAGCTCGAAGAACTGAGAAAATGTGAGTTATCTAATATACTAGTAGTACATTTGCGTGTGTTTGATAGAAATCGACGATAAGGTGTTGAACAAAACGAATATGTAAAAATCAAAATGTAAATTGAATGTATGAAAATGATATGATAATGAAATGATAATGTATGAAAATGAAAAGACGTATAGGAAGACTGTAAAATCCTGGTAATAATTTAAATGTGATATTTTATCTGAAACTGCTACTGATTGTTTTTATACCAATGGTTTGACCATGACCAGACCTTTCTGACAAGGCTGTCCCCGGTTTGTGTGCTGAGGTGGAAATCTCGTATCTCACAGGTGTGACCCTTGCTGCGTGCAGTGTTATCTGGTGCTATTTGTAACCTGTTGCGAAATCATCATTAAAGGGAAGTCATGTTAAAATGATGTCAGCGTCTGTGGTCTATCTTCTTTATTGTACATTATGAAGCATTTAAACTGCCTCATAAATATAACCTGTGATTAATGATCTGTACAAAGCTACCTACATAACAGAAGTCCGTAAACTGGTTATCCTCCTTCTATTCAAAGAGTTTTAAACTACCGCCCATGCAGTTCCCTAACAGGCTGCTTGGGGGCCCAAATGTATGTAACGTTCCCGAGAAGAAGAGGTACCCACAATGTAAATGTCGTGATCACGAAATTTTTCAACCAGAAGTTCCTCTGCAGTACACAACAAGCCGCCAGGGGCCCCAAAATCTAATCATTTCACTGCCTCAACAAGACATACCCACCTACCAAATGTCACCTAAGATAGTCGACGTCCATCTAAGCATCCTCGAGTTATCATGTTATCACACACACACACAAATACACTATTGAAAGAATTAATTATCGTAAAAATATGTAGATGTCTAAGTTTCATGCCTAAGGCAAATCAAAAGGTTGGAGATGATCTGCCATAAAGCTATACGCGTATAGTGCAGCAATAAGTAGTTGCAATTGAATTATGAATTGACAGTCATCAAAAGAAGACAGTGGAGCAAAACGTTGTGCGTTTCCTACCTTTCCGCAGGGTCGATGCCAAGGTGCACTGTCTCATGGATCTACATGCGTATCCGATGGACACTCAGACCTGCAGGTTATTCATACATTTAGGTATGAATTATGAATATTGGAAACATATCCATTTACAAAATGCAAAATGAATCAATGCGCATGACGTCAAAGACTAAATGCATGTAAATACATGTAAGATTTGTTGCGATTTTAGTTATGCCAAAATGAATGCATTCTGATTTTTAACAGCCATTCTCGGATTCAAGACCATATGTTTCCATTATGTGCAGAAGTGGCGGCAAATTCTTGAATGTAGTTTGTCAGGGGCATTAGATGTAACAACAGCCTCTATGATTGCACGATAATGTTATTCATCCACTGAGCCCATTTTGTGTAGTAGGTGGCAACTTACGGTTTCGATGGGGTGTGCCTCCTGCACTTGATCGCGGATTTGCCAAGTCGGCAGTCATCTTACGCCTGCCTGGAGTACACTCACAGCTAAGGCTGGAGGTGTTGGAGATGCTCGCCTATACGAACTCCTACCTTGAAAAAGGTGAAGTGAATAATGTATTGTTGTAAGAATTACTCTCAGCATTACTCAAGTGCCAATTGAATACACACTAGCTGAGAGGATGAGGGTGATTGGACAGCTAAAGAATACTTGAAGAAGTGTTGGCAATGTGTTGAAGGTGCTTGATTGCTTTGATCATTAACTCAACACAACTATGTTTGCATTACAAAAACGTAGTAGGATTGTCACTGATGAAGACCACTAGATGGTGATCAAAACTAACCTCTAGTAGGCTTCGGGAGCGGCAAACTGTTCTCGTAGCGCGGACCAACTCTCCTGGCATATCATCTGTCTAAATGGCCAATTTCTACTAATTCCAGTCACTTCTTGAAGCCTGGTAGAGCTAGAGGCTTTGTAAAAACGTCTTACAAAAACTCGTATCAATCTAGTTGTACAGATTTATAAAGATCTATATATTCCTGGATGAGTAACCTTCATACACGTTCGATTATCATCGTTTTCCAAAACATTTCATACAGTTTTGACTAACATTTTGCTTGGCCCCAGATGTTCGTTGCATCTACCAGTCGGAAAGATGCGATTTTAACGGCGCAGAAGGATGCTTACGGCACTGTCCTGAGTCTGAAGAGGGATGTCTCCGGTGTAACCATTATTTCGGTAATTGCAGTACAAGTGTTGCCGAGGACTGTGAAATGACGAAAATCAACCGTAAGCACCATTGTGCAAGTTATGCCCTTGAAAATCTTTCTATGTTTCTAAATAGCGTAAAGTTTGCCAAAAACAGTTCTCAAGCAACTGGATATGATTTTGTTGCTTGAGTAACTTTTTTTGTTGGCGTATCTTACCGAGATGTCTATCCTTTATCGACGTAAAGTTTGGATTTATGTGTTTGGTATTTGATATTGCCATACTTATTGGCAGCGACAGACATACATACCTTCACTACCGGTGAGATGCGGTTTACCCTGGTTCGGCGCCTGAGGTACCACCTGCTGCAGACCTACATGCCGTGTTTTTTTATCGTCTTCATGGGGTGGATCAACTTCTGGTTGGACATGGACTCTCCTCCCGCCAGAGTGTCTCTGGGGGTGACCACGGTGCTGACGATCATCACACAGGTAAGTTCCCCTCCACTCAAAGTGACTTACATCTTTGCCTAGTTTTAAATGTAGTATAAAAAAAACACATCTAATTTCGGCCATATTTGACCTTCTACCTTCGTCGTTGCCAAACTTGATTGATAGAATATCTTTCTTTCTTTCTTTAAATGTAATTTAATCATTAGTTGTTGAATGGGAATTCTCTCTGTTTGAGATATTTATTTTCTGTAGTATATTTAATATACTACAATCTTGACGGGTATTTTGAACACTGAATGCATGAAGTGTGCGGGAGGGCGTGATGTGGATCACCGGATCGTAAAGGCAAAGTAATCATTGACGGAATTTTTTTTCACGTTGACGGTGTTTTTTTTCGCGAATTGGGTTGACCTGGGGTTGACGGTAAAAATTTCGAGCTGGCTAAAGCCCTGGTATATTATATTATCATGCGAAGGTAAACATTGTGCGTTTGCTTTGCAATGCTTTACCTTAATATAATTGTGATATTTTCTGTTTACCTTACAGAGCGCCCAAACCTCCCGCATACCAGAAGTGTCTTACATCCGAGCCGTGGACATCTGGGTCTCCGTGTGTCAGCTCTTCGTCTTCTCTGCTCTGGTTGAATATGCTGTGATCAGTTACATTAAAAGGTGGAAACACCTAAAGGTAACAAAATGAATGAATGTGTCCATATAAATATCCAGACTTCAGTCAAAGCAGTATATTTATACATAAGAGTTAAAAAGGGTAAGCTTTATCTGGATATAGAGCTTTCATCAAGTGTAAATATAATTACCTGGTCTTTAGAAGGGTTACTCATTGCCCAAATACCACAGAAGTCAATGTATCCATTCTGTTGACCAACCATGTCAGTGCCAATTCATCAACATAAAGATAACATAAACTTATATGGCAAGTCGCCCTGGCGGAATAACACGACATTTCAACGTTTAGATGTATTGCATTGCATGCAGAGTGACAACTGATTTCAAAAAAAAATTATGGTAGGTTTTCTACTATTTCTCTGTTTTGCTTTGTTTTTGCAGAAGGTCCTAAAGCCAACGTCGCCATCCTCTACAAATGAATCAAATTCTACTGATTCCAGACAGCAACCAAATACTACTGACTCCAGGCTGCAACCTAACAGTACTACTGACTCAGGGCAGCAACCTACTGCCAAGAGACAACGCTCGGGTCGATACTATGCTGAAGCGATCGAACGGGTTGCAAGGATCGCCTATCCAATAGCGTTTCTTGTCTTTATGGTAATCTATGTCAGTGTCTACTACAATTTCAGAATTTAAAGAGATACTGTTACCGTGAGAATGCAAACAGGCTTATCATGCTGTTACATCTTATTTGGATCTCCACAGAACTGGCATTGTGATTTTTTGATTAACTAGAAAGGTTACATTTGCAAAGCAAATGCATACTCTTTAGCTTCCCATGGTCTAGCCCAACAAACTACTGTTTTGTTTATTCTCACTCAAAACACTTTCATGTACATTTATTGTGACCAGCCAACCCAACGTTGTCCTGATAATCCTGTAATCCTGCACTGGGTGTCTGCCACAGCAGAATTCAGCCGTTTGTCATTTTTGTAGGAACAGATGCATATACATGTATAGAGAAATTAAAAGGCAAAAAAATGGGGCAACTTCGTTCTTCTTGCCAGTAATGATTAAGTTTCCAGTCTGTTTTTACACTGCATTACATTAGCCTGTAGGGGCGAGAAATTAGATTATGCTCGGTCATGTTGTGTGAGCTTCCTAAATTATTCAAAAGGAATGTATGAAGGTCATTGGTATACAACAGAATGAAATCGGTGCTTCTTATTTTGAACCCCTTACCCCGCGTTTGATTCTCCCCATTGACGATCGATCAAAACTCAACCTGCATTTATACCTGCGTGGACCTTATGCACTGACTGTAGATATGTTGCACAGTACTGGAACGGAATAGCGAATGTTAAATAGTCCAAAGTGAGTTATCATGACAAATTTATGACAGATTTTATGTTGACTAATATGATATGGAACCACGTGATGTATACAGGAACGTGTTATTTAAAAACAGGATAGGCAGAAAGGAAATCATGAAATATAATGTCATTATTCCTCGGTGTGGAGACAAGAAACGTCACTTCTACGTATACATTTGATTATTATCTACGACGTATAAAGTAACGTTAGTTTACATTGAGCGGAGAAGACGGCGCCTCTGATGGAATCTCTATCCGAAGACACCCAATACAGTTCAGTTCGGTTTATTTACACGCTGCCCACTGTGTGCTGGGAGTGTTATGACCTGTGAAGTCTTGTACTACTCAACTGAGATCTTCCTCCGACATGTTCGGAACAAAGGCGTACGGGTTTCTCGTTCTTAGCGTATCTTTCATGAGTCAAGTGTCGTCTGGTAGTGGCTCAACAAGCAACGGGTAGGTGTGCATGCCTTTACATACATACCATTGATAGCTTTATGTCATGGCTAGATATTGGCATCCATTGCACGCAAGCATACTGTGCCCCTTATGATGGTAGCACTAGCATCATGTATGAAATGTCGTGCCCCAATTTCAGACCCATGGCCAGCAATCGATGATGGTGCCTCTTGACCGGCAACGGTAGGCACAAATAATTACCTTCAAGACCAACATTGATGTTGATGTTATGATGCAATTATTCATGAGCCCCAAGGGTTGCAGGCAGAAGATGGGGCCAGCGCCAGGGTTTGCCCTTTTATTATAATATGTAAGGAGCAGCTAAGGCTTCTATGCGTATATCTGTCACGGGAATCACAGCAGAATACATTAAAACACTGGCATCTAAGGAATCGAAGAATACGAGCTAAAAAACCACAGAGAGCCATTATTAACGAGAGTAACATTACCAGTTTGGGATCAGGTGTACCAGATAGTGCTCTCACTATGAATGAGCGTGAGAATTCGTGTTTGAGGGTCAGGTTGAGCACTAAGCTTTTATAAGGCATTGCTGAGAGGCAAGATAAATCATATAATCTTTAAAGCAATACGGCAATAACGTTACCAGGCTCACGTAGGGATCCTATGGGATATCTATTGCTATATCTGATTCGTAACGAAACATTGATGTCTTGTAATTGCAGGGAAAACGATGGTCGTTCTTTAATTGAGGAAATCACAACCAGTGAGGACTCAGGATTCATATGGGCCGTGCCTGATGATTATGATAATAAAACGAGACCTGGAAATCCCGGTAGGCTTACCCATCAATTTTACAAGTCGTTAAATACACAACATTATATCAACACTCCTCAGATATGATTGAAGATGATTAGGTGATTCTTCTTCATGGAATCATTATTATTAATCAATTTCATGTCGTAAATTCTTACAATTATCATTACCATTGTGTATTTTTTAAGAGAAACAATCACAAATACCGTGCAGTGTCGTATGAACAGGTAACCTTGTCTTGCAATATTGATGAAGTGCACTTTGTGGTGTATCCAACAGGGACGTACAATTGAGTAACGTTGCTTCAATCCACAATGCATGTATCGGTACTGTAGGTAAAAATAGATAAAGGGTTTTTCTGTAATGCATTCTGGTCCATGCTTCCGTACAAGTGCAGCATCCTAGCACAAGTGAAGATGCAGAATAATCAAGACAACGTCTTGTTCTGTTACGAGCATCAGTGTGAAGTTACTGAAAACATTTATCAAACATGTACAATGGTTAAAAGGCACCCAATGCGGCAGTAAAGCTGAAATCAAAGTCAATTTTCTGGTCAATATAGTAAAATCAACCCTATCGATTCCGTAGCATACTGATTTATAAGGCAAAAATGCGACGCCGCTGACGGAAAAAGGTGGCTTGTTTAGTCCTAGCAATTAATAAAATTCAAAAAATAAGAATAAAACGACTAGGTTGTTTTGGGGACACAAATGCATCAAGTATGAAAAGATGCCGTGTGCTAAGGACTGGCAGTAAATGTAAACTTTAATTGTTTCAGGGGCCCTCCTGGACGTGAACTGTTCGGCATACATCACAAAACTGGGTCCATTCTCGGACAGTGCTATGGTAATATATTATAGAATATAGCGTTAAGCAACAACATATTAAGTATAATAATTACACGACAATTGTACATTGTACAATGTTTGGCAAAAACTATCGAAAATATTACAGAAAAAGTATAAAATAAACTTAACATCCGAATTACTTCATCAAAGAAGTCTTTTATGTGTCTATCTATTTCAGTAATGTGAGAGTTATTGCATGTTAAGATTAACCAGATGAGTGTTCATGTCCTTAATAAGACCAAGAAAACATTTCCTTAATAAATGCTTCTTGCTGTTTATTTGCTTAAATGCGTTTTCTTTTTCCTTCCTGTTAGCAATTTTTCATCTCGTTTGTTCTGCAATGCTGGTGGACAGATGACAGACTTCCCTCCCACAAAGCCATTGTTGACGAGACGAGTAAGAAGATTTGGAGACCTCTTATAACGCCAATCGTACACGCGGATATTTTGAAAAACCAAGAAATGATTTACCCTGTAGTTTACCCAGGAAGTGTCGTGTACATGACTAAAATGTAAGTAAAACTATACTTAACTATATCTATCTTCATCATGTTGGTTGATGTGAATCTCGTCTGTTTGTTGGTTTGTTTTATTTCACCAGGAGAAAAACACATCACCTACTGGAGTTTTAAACTATCAACATCAAATTGAATGATCAATGACAACAAATAACAAAACAATTACAACGACAAGCATAATAAAATGAAATAATGATAGAAATTTGTATATCAATGTTCAGGATTGTTAATGCTTGGATCAAAGGGAAAATTACATCTACATAAATATATTGCATAAGTGGTCTCAATAACATGTTTACCGTCTATGTTCACAGCTATGACATGCAGGTCCCGTGTCAGATGCAACTCTACACCTATCCTCATGATCGGCAAATGTGTAGTTTACACATGAGCTTTGGTACGTAAAACACTACTGCGCATAAGGAATGAAATAGTAGTTTTGTGACTATATGAAATAAAGACAGAATGGGCATTTTTTACGTATTTTTCTACTTGCTCTTACGATTTTGGCTTCTTTGCTCCGCCTTTGCAGTCTTACTTAAAAAATACCTGCAGTAGATGTACGAGTACAAATGTCAATATCAAAGATACGTCGTATACTTTCAAAACAGAGGTTTAGGCTTCGACATATGCGTGTTTTAGGCGTTTTTGCCAGGCTTTCGTTTTTGTACTGATATATTTGTTTTAGTATTGGATACTGCCAGCCACCATAAGATCTGTTCGGATATTATATCAAAGACACAAAATGCATTCTAAGACCACATATTCTGCCATATGTCCACAGTTGGTGGCCTGAAGGTTGTCTGGAGTTCTTCGCTGTACCTGCAGTCTGATTCTTCCATTGCCATTTCTATGACGAATGTTCGCTCGGCGTTCCGAATCGACCAGGTCGACTACCTCAGCTACACGCTCAACCTCCAAAGCTATCGTAAGTATCGGGAACAAGTTGCTTCAGTTAGTCTCACGATGACTTAATAAGAATATACTCATTGGCATTGTTGTTCTATCCATCAATCAGCTATCATCAGAAGACGTTCACTTACAGGTTTGAATGAAGTCAATATCCCCCAATAACAAAGGGTTAATGCCCCGACTCGAGGTGTATATAATCCCTGGCCATGTGCAATAACCACCGAAATAAACCATCGAGTGAGCGTAGCGTTTTCTGTTTAATTTCCATATATACCTTTTTAATTGTGCTGTATTTTCAAATAAATTGTATGTTATATGTTATATATAATGACTCCAGGTAGAGTAGTGAACAAATGCATAATGTACGGATGTACAATATGCGATGCCACACAACACAATGGAATTGCTGTAAACCATTCTCGTTACAGGAGATACCTGTGTCTATCAGAGCGGCTCCTGTGACTACTCTGGCTATGCAGACTGTATCAAGATGGGGGTCAAATGTTTCAAGGCAGAAAACCTGAACACAACTGCGTGTATCGACTGCCTCCAATTTGGGGGTAGCTGCGAGGAACATACTCCACCGATAGACTGTTCCCCATTTCTTGACCAAGGTTCGAGCTCATTTAAGATATAAACCTACAGCTAACGTTATCGTGTCAAATGTATTTCTACCATTATAACATGAACATTAGGTAGCTTAATATCATGTTGTACATTGATATTGTGGGCTTCATCAAAACGCATTTTGTTCATGACTATCTATTCCTGAAGGAGTACAAATTGCGTATCCCATAAATTGAAAGACGCATTTAGACAGAACCCAATTTGATTTGTATGAAATGTGTCTTTCAGTTAATCTTGTTGGGGATTTCCACACAACGTTGGAGTTCAGATTTGGTCTGTCCCGTCGGCTGAGTTACCAGATCCTCCACACGTACGTGCCGTCTTCCTGTGTGGTCGCGATTTCCTGGGTTTCATTCTGGCTCGACCCGGCGTCTGCTCCGGCCAGAACTAGCCTGGGGGTAACCACTGTCCTGACCATGGTCACACTGGTAGGTTCAACGACAACATACGTTAATAGACAATTTTAACTTTCCTTGTTATCAGGAGACAAAGAAATATGATGTTAAAATTATATCACTAATTTGGTAGTCTTGTAATTCAGACGTGGCTCAGGGAGCAGTGAATTACTGTAGGCAGTTCATAGCGCCCCCCGTCTCGCCTCTGTAACGTATGATCCACTGCTCAACGAGTCTGGTGACTCAAGACTACCAAAGACTGGTATAGTTGGAAAGTTGGATTACTACCGGTCACGCTGGAACGTACAGATGATACAGGATGGATTCCAACAAAACAAAGAAACTTTCCAGCTAAGAAATTTCCTTATCTTGATACATCTGTGATATATTTTCCTCAGAGCACCAAAATCGGGGCAACACCAGAGCATAACTACATCCGGGCTATCGACATCTGGATGCTGAGCTGTAAGCTGTTTGTGGTGCTCGCCCTGCTGGAATACGCCTTCGTCAACTTTGCAGCGAGACAAGCGGTAGGTTTCGTTTGCTCCTGCAGCTGTTTGTTGGGTCCGTATTGCGAGCATCAATGTGCATTATGTTATCTCTGGCACATTTTTGCAGTAAATGATCATATTTGTTCACCTTCTTTTATATTTGTATATATATATATATATAATGACCTACTCTGACAATACAAAAAGTCTGAATTCGCATATACCTGTTTTAAAAAGAGGGAAGAGGCACGTAACGATAGTCAACGATAGCAAGCCTTAATGTTCATCTGTTTGTAAACAATAGACTGGTGTAGCACTTTTACTATTCTAGACTTGTGCTGTAATGAAATGACGGTTATCTATTTCACTAGTCTAAAGCTGCGAAAAGCCAGAAGACGACCATTGCAGGGGAGGGAGAAGAGGACAAAAGTTTCGTGCCCAACGAAGACAGTTTGGACGAAAACAGGGATTTCCAACTGCCGAAGATAAAGTTCACCATCGCAGGATATGAAATGGCAAAGAAACTGGACTACGTCTCACGATTCCTGTTCCCGACGTTCTACATAGCCTTCGTAGCTACCTATCTTGGCGTCTTATCGTCTTCTGAGCATTAAATCTAAAATGTACGTTGGTTCAAGGATGCAAGTCATCCGATTCAAAGCTGGCGCAAATGAAGAAAAGCTGATGGAGAAAGCACCACGATGTAGCACAAAGCATATCAATTAACGCTCAAGGATATAAACCAGTTGATCTTGAGATCTCACAAGTGTCACTGACGAATTTGCCTGACCGTTTCCAAAATCATATTCTGTTGCTTGAGTAACCACTCGTGGCTGAGAACGACACTTCAAATTCACTTGGCACGTTATATAATAGCCCAGCTACATGACAACGCTTCAAGGCTTTAAGGAAAGCAATGCTTCAAAAGGACTTGAGTCCATGAAGTGTCCTTAAAACATGAGTAACAAGTTACTGTTGATGTAATAGAATGGTGACTGAGCAAGCAAATTAGCAGTCTGCAGTCCAAATTGTGTAGTGGCCACACCAGAGCTTGCGTTTGAGTACCTGAAAACCTCAATTGAAAATGTGTATAAGTATATACATTATCATAGAAGATTATGCAACATGTCCTTAAGTGTTTGTCTGGGACGCACTGAACCACAGATATAGAATGTTGGACGATCATATAACCTAACGTTACATGTAGGGGTAGATTTTACCAGGCTTGAAATGTTGACAACCTCAGATCAGAGACCAGCTTAACAGAAGTAAAAGAAATCCAGTCTCTTATGGAGGATAGGGTGAATTGGAGAATGCTTTCAAGTCTGGGAGCGGGAGGTCGATCAAAGTAAAGTAATTAGTGAAATGTTGCAAGTTCGTGAGGAATTATACATTGTAATATACTTTTCCGCGCGATAACCATTGTGTCTTATGGGGCGGTAATTCCCATGTTATGCCATACCGCAAGGGCTTGTACAAAAATATACCATATAACGTTATTGTCTAAAAAATAGTGGCTTGAATGGCTTACAAGATGGACCAGTTATCAAACTCAAGAGGCCATATTGCTCTCTGTAATTAATATATTACTGTTTTAAATACGAAGATTGTCCATGCAATATCATGCAAATGCAAATGTAATTTTTACTATATCCCTGGTCCGGTCGTCGAATATATATTAACCTTTATAGTTTATACACAGTATTAATGGGCACACGCTCCAATCTGATCAAACTATTTGACATTGACTATTTTACATATGCAATATATCGCACATGCCGGAAATGTCGTACAGGCTATAGACATCTATATTAACCTCCAAATTGTATCCGTACTTGTACCGTTGACACACACACACACACACACACACAAACACAAACACACACACACACACACACACACACACACACACACACACACACACACACACACACTCACACACACACACATATATATATATATATATATATGTATCAGGTTGACATTATGCAATGTAATTCTATCTACTTACAATACCCTGTTAATGCATGCAAAGAGAAGACAATCAGTATAACAACACATATACCGTCATTGAATATTGTTCTGTATTCGAATTTCCTGCACAGAATGCCAGATGTGTATTTGGCACACAAGAGATTTATTAAAGAGTTCTGAACTAGCTGCTTTAGTGGCTTTGTTGTCTCTTTAGGGTGGTGATGTTTTGTTCCACACCATGTCTTGAACAATATACTTGATATTGAAAACGCAGAAATACTAGTATAGCACTATACAACAAAATTCTGAAATCATTCGCCTAAAGAGCATTTGGTGATAATTTTTAACGGATCAGATATGAAATTGAATTCACCATGCGAGTAGCAGCGAGGAGAAAATTGCAAAATGTTAGCTTAATTTGGTTTGTAGCGATCAGAGTAAGGTATATGTAGGTGCACTATCGTCAGCTCAGAGTGTATGTCTCCCGAGGCAACCACAATAGATCCCACAGTACGTGACACGACGTATACATTATAGGTTCGGTTGGGAATGGAACGGCATGTGGAGCCCTGCTACTCTTCTACGATTGTCGTGCGACATGGCGTTCTGGTGCATCATTATTTGGCTATTTTTAATCAGTCATGTTTATGCAGATAGAGGGTCGACAGGCAACCAGACCGGGTGAGTTTGTGTGTTCTTATACATGTTGTTGTCAGCCATGTTTTATTAGCATGCACTGCACGCAACTAATATCTGCAATGTTGTGCCGTTTTGAATTCTGCCCCCCCCCTCCAATTTTCAGACAAGCGCTGTTGGTATCGACATGGCCTCAGATATTACATGAGGCCATGTAGGTCCCTAGGCAAGCAATTCTGTACATAAGGGGCTATCGTGATTTCGCTTTTTGGTGTAAGAATATCTATTTTTCATCGATGGGGCCCGCAAAAGGTTTTTTTAATCTTTAGCACAGATGCAGGTCAGGATCCTATGTATGGTAAATTGTTCTTCATAATCCATTTATTACATATTTCAGAGACTCAAGCCTTCTGATGGTATATATCAGCTGCCCCCATTCTTATTATATTCGTCCCATGAGAGTTTCTATGTCTAAACGTTTGCCCAGTTACATTCTCTGTAATGTTTTGATTTTTCTATAGTAGGGAGAGCAATGAACCTACTGTACTTGAGAATAACACATTCATAGTGCCTGGTGATTATAATCATACAACAAGGCCAGGAACTCCCGGTAGGTTATTTCAACCTTCTATCAAATTGCGGAATATCGATAATTATCAGTAAGAAGCACTAAGAACAGAACGTAATGGTGTCAACAAAGTGATACTTGCCAGATATAATGATATGAACACTGATTATAGATATGTAACTTATTTTGTATCGAGAAATGTGTATTAGTATCAGTTAACGTTTACATGGCCTTTTCTTCGAAATGTAGATTTCCTTATGACAAGACAAATATAATAATAGATGAAATTATATCTTGCAATATTAATGCTTTGCGAAGTGTGGGCTACACAGTAGCGGTTCACAGTTACGTCGAAAAGCTTTGGAAAACTTACTGTTCACTGTTCCGACATTGCAATTCAAATGAATTCTACATCTAGAAAACCAAAACGTCTTTCTCCACACAACATAATTTATGCATGGTGAGACAAAACAATTAAGATAAACCATGTATTGAAAATACTTTTCTGAACTATATTTGGTGAATTTTTTTCTGGCTCAATTCTTTCAGGAGTCCTTCTGGACGTCAACTGTACGGCCTTCATCTGGAAACTTGGTCCATTCTCGGACAAAGATATGGTAAATCTACTTCACTATAGTGTTCAACAAAAGCACTTTCAAAGACTACAGGAAATGGTTTTATGTTGTATACCAGGAAAAGTGGGAGATTTATCTATCAAATTAAGCTTTAAGAGTGTGTTGTTAAGTATTTTCCTATAACATTATATAATACAGGATTTTTTCGGTCAATTCCAAACCTATGACTACTATATAGACATTGTAAATGTGTGATGATCTTTTTTTCTGATAAAGCATGGCCAAATAAGAAATCCCCCATGCGAATGAATACGCTTCAATGGAGAGCTTTGCGCCATGATACAGAGGTATTTTGCTCATAGTTTGATTGTTACTCATCAGTCCCCAAAATGTTCTATTTCTTTAGAACTTTTATATTTCATTTGTCCTGCTCTGTGCGTGGAAAGACGAACGGCTTCCTAGTACCAACCAAAGCGTGATTGTTGACGAATCAAACAAGAAGATTTGGAGGCCACCCATATGGCCGATGGTGCACGCGGAGAAATTGAAACATGAGGACTTGCTTTATCCAGTACTTCATCCTGGAAGTATGGTATATCTTATGCAAAGGTATGTATAAGACATGGTTTGACTATGAAAAAGATGGTGCTAGAGGATTGTATTTGGATGGAAAGCATGTGTTTGGGAGGGAATTCCATAATTTGTAAGTCCGGGGAAAGAATATGTTTCTGTAGAAGGACTTTGAAACAAGAATTTGAAAGTATGACGACAGGGTCTTTCCTCTTGCAGATTCGAGTTCAGGGTCCCCTGCCTAATGCAACTTTACACCTACCCGCATGACCGACAGATGTGCGGATTGATTTTAGGATTCGGTAGGTAAAGGTATATTTATCAGGAAATTGTAATAATGGTAATATTCTCCCTTGGGTCTTTATCTTTCGTTGTGTTTACCCTTTGGCCTCGGCAATGCTCCAACCACATTTCAATTCGACCAATACGATTTTTGTCATCTGGGTAATCATGTGTTATTGCTATATTACTATGTTATTTTACTTTCATCGCATCATTCGTTGTTTACGATTGCTACCTATTCATGAAGGCTTTTTTATTTTCGTTTAATCTTTGTTTAATAGGCCTCCTGCCATTTTATGTCGGGGTTATCTCCCCAGCACTTTGTGGGAAAACCCCAGTAGGCAGTATGTATAAATAAACAAATAAACAAAAAAAAACGTTGATGCACAATTGATATAATGACGATGACAACGAACTTGATTGCATGTCATATATAAAGGTTTTCAATTTTTCAGTTGGCGGCATAAAGGTTCGGTGGGAGGCCTCTGTCTACTACTTCCAGTCCGAGTCCCCTGTCATCATCTCAATGCCAAATGTGCGTTCAGTGTTTCAAGTAGACCAGGTCGACTTCAACAGCTTCACCCTCAATGTCCAAAGCTATGGTAAGCTGTTGAGAGAAATCTTTAATATCTAATGCCTGGTTGAGCTTCAGCTTTAGCTACCAGCTCATACAAATACTGTATACATAGTAGTGCAACCCGAACAACCCGAAAGCAGTTATAGCCGTGTCGAAGAGTTCTTCTGTCTTCTATCCCCAAAGTAAAATTGGTAATTGGCTTTGTGGTTTCAAAATATTTTGGAGGTAATGATTGGACTAGTACAAAAAATTGTACCTGCTGTTACAGTTACTTGTCAGTGTCATGCATTTTAGATAGAATCCACTTGAGTGACACTTGACAGTTCTTGGAAACGTGATGTTATCTTAGCGTCGTTTTGTCCAGTCTAATACTATACTTCCTAACTACATCACCTAGTACTAAGTACTGTGGTTAGCCTTCGACGCTGTTCATGGAGTAAACTATATCAAGTATTTCCAAATGTTGCAGGAGATACCTGTATCTATCAGAGCGGCTCCTGTGACTACTCTGGCTCTTCAGACTGTATCAAGACGGGGTACAAATGTTTCCAGGCGGAAAACATCAACACCACAACGTGCCTCAACTGTCTCCAAATGGGCGGTAAATGTAAGCAGCAGGATCCAGCTCAAGATTGTTCACCATCTCTGAATAAAGGTTGGTGATTACACGTATATCGCTGCAAGAATAGTTGGATTTACCAATGATACTCAATATTAGTATTATAAATAAATTTGGGTGATTTTGCAACTTGCTAGGGCAAAGAAGCCTACAAATCATACATTCAGTACGTTTTTCACTTTCGTCTGTTGACCTCTTACAGTTAACCTCGTTGGGGATTTCCACACAACGTTGGAGCTGCGGTTTGCTTTATCTCGTGGGCTGAGTTTTCAGATCCTCCACACGTACGTG